TTTCCTCTCTGATCTGCATAATTTCCCCCTTCACTTTGGGTTTTGTTTGCTTTTTAGATTTTAATGTTTTTCTAGTTTACAATCCAGAAATTAGCTGAGGTTACTGATTTGAGTGCTTTCTTTGTTTTTCTAATATAGAGACTTAGTTCTATAAATTTCCCCTAAGTTCTTGTTTGGAATAAGCTACAAATTTTGTTTGCATTTTCATTAAATTTACATATTTTTAATTTCCACTTTGATTTACTCTTTGACTCATTGTTTAGAAGTGTTTTGCTTGTGGATTTTTAGAGTTCATTCTAGATAGTCCAAATATTTGTAGAGTTTCCCAGAGTCTATTCTGTTACTTCTAATTTGATTCTAGTGTCCGAGGGCATACTTTGAATGACTGGAATATTCGTAAAATTTTGTGTACTAGAATATTGTCTCTCGTGTTATATTTCCATGCTCAGTTGAAAAGAATGTATATTCTACTACTGTTAGGTGGAGGTCTTATAGGTATAAATTCAATCATGTTTGGTCATATGTTGCATATGTTGCCTAAAGGTTTTATAATATTGTTGATTTTCTTCCTTCTTACCATTTTTATAACTGACAGAGGAATATTAAATTATTTCCTATAAGGTTACCTGTTTTTCTATTTCTCTTTGCAGTATCTTGGTTTTATGTTTTGTGTATTTTGAAGCTCTAGTTGAGTGTGTAAGTGTCTAGGAATTGACATTTTTTTGTTAGGAAATGGCATTATTTACCTATGGTAAAATTGTTTGATATTAAATTATTTTGATGCTAACCTAACTACTCTAGATTCCTTTTAGTTAGATTGCATGATATATTTTTTGCAACCCTTTACTTTGAACTTGTTTCTATATTTCAAGTTACTATCTTGTAGACAGAATCTAGGTGCTTTTTATCAACTCTGATAATCTCTGCCTTTTGATTGCACTGTTAGATCATTTGAATTTGAAGTGATTACTTTTGTGGCAAGATTTTAATCTAGCACCTGAGATTTTTATTCTGTTATGTGATATGATCATTTAAATCCTTCTGCCTGTTTTTTTTTTTTCATTTTTTTGGAGTAATTGAACATCATCATCATTACTATTACTCATTTTCTTTGCTCTTTGTCTGTAATTTACTGTATTGCTGTTATTGAGATTGCTTTAAGGTTTATAATATACATTTTAACTTACTATATTCTACCTCTAATTGGTATTATACTATTTCAGGTATAGTATAAAAATCTTAAAATAGCATAGTTTAATTTCTTTTCTTCCAGTTTTTTGTGCTATTTTGTCATGAGTTTTACTCTTACCTATGTTATAAACTCCAATTATATTACTTTGTAAGTAGTTTTATTTAAGCAGTAGTTATCCTTTAAAGACATGTAAATTTTGAGTAAATCATATATACTCACCAATTCTGGTGCTTTTCATCTCCTTTTTGGATTTGTTTTCTATGTGCTCTTATCCTTTTGCCAGAAGGATATCTTTTTACTTTAGCTGTAATATAGCTCTAATGGTAATTAATTCTTTTATGTGTGTGTGTGTGTCTGAAAAAGTATTCATTTCTTTTTATTTTTGGTGGTACCGAGGTTTGAACTCAGGGCTTTGTGCTTAGTAGGCAGGTGCTCTACCACTTGAGCCATGCTCCCAGCCCTTTATGGTCCCAGCCGTTTGAGATATGGTTTCACTTTTGGCCTATGCCGGTCTGGAAACAGTCCTCCTATTTATAACTTCCTGCCATAGCTAGGAAGACAAGTGTACACCACCATGCACAGTTTTTTCTGTTGAGATGGGGTCTCATGAACTTTTCCTGAGCTGGCCTGGAGCTGCAATCTTCCCAATCTCAGCCTCCTGTGTAGCTGGGATGACAGGTGCACACCCTGCATCTGGCTCATTTTTGTTTTTTAAAAAATAGTTTCAAAGCCATTGAATTCTAAGTTGGCAGTGCTTTCCTTTCATAACTTTACAAATGTTTTCCACTATCTTTTTGCTTTTATTAATTGTGGTATGAAATCTTCTTGCTATCTTTTAATTGTTCCTCTGTAAGTAACATATCTTCTTTTTTCCCTTTGGTGCCTTTTAAGAATTTCATTTTAATACTGGTTTTGGGAAATTTGATTATGATAAGTTTAAGTATGCTTGATAAGTTTAAGTATCCATGTGTCTTTCATTCTTCTTGGACCAATAGCTATCCAAGACTGTACTTTTTATTGTGAATATCAGAGAAAAAGAATCAATTTGACCCTGCAAGCACAATTCAGGACTTTGTTTGCATAATATTAACTAATATTCATTGACAAAATCATGATATAAGGTCAATCCCAAGACAAGGAACAGGGACGTAAACCCATCTGTCATGAAGCTATGACAAGGCTAGGCATTGTTCAACTAGAAGTAGTCTAGTACTTTGATAAACTTGGATGTCTGTAGCAGAAGATGATCAGAATTGGCCATTGGATGGCTCCCCCCTCCCCCGCTGTAGTTTCTACAGCTTGTCTCCTTTTTTAGAAGCATATTCCAGATCACCTCTTCCAGACTTTTGTTGGTAAAATAGCACTTAAGAACAAGTTTCCCCAAAACTTAAGAACACTGGTACCATACCAGACTTACTCTAAAGGCAATGTAAGTGAAAGGGGTGGGAAAATACCAATTTTCTCTTGCTGTGTTAAGGGAAATTATGTTGCACTATGTTTCAACATACAATGGCAAAGTTATGAGCACTATTCTGCCTCTTTAAATAGAAATACCAACCCGTTTTTGCTCTTTTTGTAGCTCTATCAAAGCATGAGGTGTGCAGCTTAAAGGATAGCCCTCAAGATAAAGAGGGTAACTAATAGAAGTTGAGCCTGAAGAAGCCCAAAACACATTTTGAAGATGGTCAAGTGAATCCTATGGATATTTGATGATAGCAATTTTACATAGTTACAGATAATACATTGTTATTCCTAATAATTAGTAACAGTAGCTTCCATTTTTAGTATCTTCTACATGTTATGTGTACTGCATTTATTGTCTTTATTACTCATGGTAATTCTACTTGTTATTAGTTACTGCATTTTATGCATGAAGAAATTGAGATTCAAAGAAGCTGAATTAATTGCCCTGGCAAATCCAACTAGCAAATGACAAAATTGTGGTGCAAACCCAGACTAATCGCTATTGAAATCTGAGCATAGCCCATTATAATTGAATGCTTCTTTTCAGCCTTGATCTCTAAATCTGCATTTGAGCCTCCCTAAGGGGATCCATTAGACCCATAAGGGAATAAAGAACATAGTCATGTGCCTGAATTTGCTGCAGGATTCCTCTGGAGGTCTTTGGAGTTTGTATTTGACAGATGTGATATGAGTCTCAGCTGCAGCCTGGAAAAGTGTTGGAGTCAGAAGCACCTGAACTCAGGGTAATAGATTGGTATCATCAACCAACTCTTACTCTTCCAGATGATGACAAGATACCCTTGAGTTTTTGTAGGGATTATATTAGAGAATGAAGGTAAAATGCAATTTGGAGTTCACAGTAAAGTCACTGCTTTAAAGGCACTGGCATGGGGTAATGTTTGTGTGCAACAAGTTCTTGGAGCAGTACCTAGCACATCCTTTTTGTTATATAAGCCAAAAATATAATGGAGACCAATACAAGCATTGGTGGAAAACAAAGCTCATGCAGATTTTGAAGAGGACAATGCAATAAATTTTGTGATTGTGATTATTAAATATGAAGGGTTTTCAGAAGAGTATTGTCCTTATGAAATTTTAAGACTTACATGAGAGCAATCATGCTGCAGAATAGAAAACTCAAGGCAAATAGCATGACATATAAGCAGCTTTGCTTCTATGATGAGTGTGAATATGTTTAAGAAGGTGTTATCTGTTTTGCTTTTTCCCTAGTTTTCATGCATTTCTAGGTTTTGAAAAGCTTATGTTTATGATCAATATTAATGAAAGCAACTCCCGTTCTTTAAACTCTTTCTCCAGACATTTCTACTTTTATGAAATTCTTTACCCATTGATGTGACCTTTCAGTTTCTGGAAAACAAAATGTTCAAAAATGAAATTTACCAAATACCAAAAACATGTAACTTGATTTGTGTGAAACTAACCCCAATTCTCTTTACTGGGATATTGTTTATGGAGACTTTGTCTCAGTTCTGCCCTTGACTGTGAACCTTGACCCCAGAGAGACCCGGTTTCAAGTCCATGTTGTTTTCCTATGTCATGATACAAGCAAATAAACAAATGTTTTTGTTTGATATTATAGATTTTTTGTTATTAACTTAGCAGGACTTTCATTCTATGCTTTATTTGGCTCACCTGCTTTCTAAGAATGCTAAGGGGTTAGGGATAATTTTTCAGGGAATGATTGAGTTGAGGGACATGGCTCTCTCTCTTTCTCCCTTTCACTGTTTCTCCCACGTACAAAGGGTGGAAACAGACACTGATATGGATTATACAATTACTGACTCAAGAGATAGGGCACAATTGGGAGGAAGATGCAGATAAGATGTGGTCAGCAGTATGTATTGGTTCCTTCCTGTTTAAATTTTAGCATCATAAAGGATCATCACAGCAGTGAATTGTTGTAATGGGCCCTAGTCTTGGCCCTTTTTATCTTTCTGGTCATCTGTAATTTTTTGTTTAATCTGTATTTTCTGAGCTAACAAAAAGAGATTCCTCACATCTTGGTGATATTTGGATACTTCTCTTAGACATGCTTTGTTGGCTGGACTTGGAGATGAACAAAAGATAGAAAGTATAGCCTTGGGTATGTTCCAGGGATATTTTGGTTATACTTGATCAGAGGTAGTTATCTCTCCTCTCACTACATTAATCTGAGTGACCCTGGGAGCACATGGTCGGTCAAGCCAGCAAACGGTAAACTATGAGAGCATGCTTAGGGGATACCAAACAGTGATATTAGAGGGATTTCAAATAAGGTATATCATGAAGTAAGTCATAACAGGTTCAAGCCAATAAATGGTTTGTTTTGTTTTTGTTTTAGCAGAACGATATCCCAGAGGTGAAGAAAGAGGAGACTTTGCTAGATCTGGACTTTGACCCTTTCAAGCCTGAGGTGGCACCTGTGGGTTCTGCTGGAGTGACTCACTCACCCATGTCTCAGGTACCAAGTGATTTTTGGATGTTTATTCATGATATTTCTGAATCTTAATAAGTTCAGTAAGGTAAACAATGATCCCTATCCTTTTCAAATGAGTATTACCTGTTATTTTGGTTGAAAAATATTTCCTAATAAGAAGGAGGAGTAGGAAGAAGACTTTATCAATATCAGTTATTCTAACCTCCCCCATTCCATTAGCTGTCTCTTCCCACAGAGCTGGCATAAACATATATTCCTGTTTCTCAGGAATCACTTCTTTCTTTCTTTGTTTCTTTCTCATTATTGTTGTACTCGGGGTACTTTGTGATATTTACCAAAGTTCTTACAATATATCATAGTTCAATTCAACCTCCCCATCATTCTCCTTTACCCTCTCCCCCCCCATTCCTGGAATAGTTTCAGCAGATATCATCTTTCCATTTACATATGTGAGTTCATAATAGCTCTGCCATATTCACCCTTCTACACCCTTTGCATATACCCTCCCCCTTTCTACCGGCGCCAGTTTTACCTTCCTATCCTCTGTTTTTTGAAAAAAAGACACTTTTGTTTGTTTAAGATAGTATACAGGGAGTTTCCTTATGACATTTCTGTTATGTGCCAGTGTCAAAGTGTTGTGGGCTGGTGTCCTTATCTTCATAGGCCAGAGAACTGGCTTGTGAGGCAGCTGAATAATGAGCCAAAGCCAGTATAGAAAGTAGGATTTATTAGAGAGAAAGGAAAGGCTACAGCTAGAGAAGCACAGGAAAACCTGGAAGCCAGTAGCTCGCTGCTAAGGTGAAGGCTGGAGCTTTTATGGACGTTTTAACTCTGGGTTAGGTGGGTTTTTCTCATTGGCTGTGGATTTGTGGTTTTTCTTAGGTGAACTAGTTTAGTTTGCACCTTTATTGGGGGTGGGGAAACAATCTTGAGAGCATTTTGCTCATCAGCCCTGTGGCAGATGTGTATCTCTCCTTTAGGATGCAGGAATGCAGGCCTCCACCTCCTCAGCATGCAAAAATGATATTGCTCTCCATGGGGAATGGGATACTCACTCATCTGCGTTAGGTCTCCAGACCCAAAATTTCCATATATATATATGTATTATAACCAAAATTGGTTCATCCTTCTATTTTTCTCCTTTCTGCCTTAGTCTCCTTCTTATGATGATTTCAACAGGTTTAAAAATTCTTGTATAGAAGGTACATCAACCATATTCACCTTGTTAACTTCCTTCTTTTATCCTCCCTCTCCCACTAGTGACCTCTCCTTAGTGTGACCTGTTTTTTGTAATGTTGCTTGTATTTGTAGTGGGCCTGTATTCTACTTATGAGAGAAATATGTGACCTTTGACTTTCTGAACCTGGCTAACTTAACTTAAAATGTGTTCTATTTCATCCATATACCTGCAAATGACAAAATTTTGTTCTTCTTTATGGCTGAATAAATACTACATTTTCTTAATCCATTCATCAGTAGTGGGACATCTTGGCTGTGTCCACAGCTTAGCTAATGTGAATAATGCTACAATAAACATGGGTGTGCAAGTATCTTTATTGTAACCTGTGTTGCATTCTTTTGGGTATATCCCTAGGAGTGGGATTGCTGGCTCACGTGGCAGATCTACGTTTAGTTTTTTAAGGAGCCTCCGTACTGTTTTCCATAGTGGCTGTACTAATTTATATCCTCACAGCAGTGTAAGAGGGTTCCTTCCCCCCACCTCATCCTTGCCAACATTTGTTGTTGTTTGTGTTCTTGATGATAGCCAAAGAATCACCTCTTGCAGAGTAATTAACAGTGCCCTATTTATTTTCAAATGTGTCCAGATTTGGATGATACATTTTATGACCTCCCTAAATAAGGCTCTTTGTTTTGGCCTTGTTTATTCTTCTTCTCATTTTCTCTAATTTTCTTTCTCATAGTTTGCAAGTGAAGGCATATTTGAAATAGCCATGAAATTGTGCCCCAACAGACATGTTTTGCAGTCTTGATTGTTCAGAACTTGCAGGCATTGTGCTCATCTTTTACCTTTTAGAAACTCCCCTTTTGTGATCCTGACTTCACAGCTGCCCCTGCTTACCCATGCTTATTCTTGTTCATCACTTCTTCACTCTCAGCTTCTCTCCCCTCCAATAGTTATTGCAATAAGATTCCCTGTCAGAGGGATACCAGTGGTAGCTGCTCTACTGGTTTTTCTGGAATATAGTTAGTTTACAATTGTCTATGGTAGTGAGAGGAAGTTGATTCAAAGTTTATATCAGTAGTTTTGATGTTCCTAGTGGCTTACATTTGAATTTGGGCAAATCCAAACTAGAATTTGCTGCAAATTAATTAATGAAAGTATATAGTGAAACTCCATTTAGGTATTGTGACCTTGTTCAATTTCCTGGTCTTGAAGTCTTCTTCCTCATTTATAGTAAACCACTGGGGACAGGGAGAATCACTCAATATGAACCTCAGTAAATAAGTGTTCTCTCTAATATGCTTTGTTCTAGACTGTGATTATGTTTCTGAAGGACTCCTTGTCATAAAATAAGACAATAAAAATCAAATATGTCAATAGGTAGAGGAATTAAGTAGGCCAGTCACTAGCTTACAAGTGCTTTGCAAAAAATTGGTCTTCTAGACAAATGGTTGAGGAAATTGTTAACTCCCTCCTAGTAGAGTCACATATGCGTTAGACTACTAAGGACTCTGAAAGTCATACAATTATTTAAAAAAAAAACTGTTCAGATTGTTTAACTTATATTTTCCAAGGTGTGTTTGACTTTAGAAATTTGTTTTAATGAAATTTTCCTTACCATTCATTGGAATGTTCTGTTAACCAGATTTTAGGAGATGTGAAAGTAACTGTAAGAAAGTTATGCCTTGGTAGCTAAGAAGAGTGGACAATGGATGTCCACATAATTCAGTATATTCCCTTCTCAGAGTTTTGTCACTATAGAGACAGAGAGCAGTATCCATGGAACTCCCTCTGCCTTACTCTGTACAGTTTATTACTTTCATGGCAGAAGGCAATGAGTGGCTGAGAGTCCACACCATTTCTGTGTGCAAATTTGAATCAGGAGAAAAATGTCTTCTATATCAAGTCATGTTTAAAAGAATCCATAAATCATGGAACTTTGTGTGGAGTTAAGATTAAATTATTCATTTTTTTCAATGTGGGTTCTCACTATACTGCTCAAGTGATCTTCCAGCCTCAGCTTCCAGAGTAGCTGGGACTATAATGTGTGCCACTGCACTTGGTTTAATGGATTCTTTCAGAATTAAAAAACAAAAAATAAACCAAAAGTAATTTTGATGATGTCTTCAAAAGTCTTCGTACTGAAGGAAGCACATTAGAGCAGTTAGAGCAAGCTTTGTGTCCCCAGTCATCCCTCCAGAACAAGTAATAAATTCCTATTGCCTCCTGTAGGCCATAAATGAGTCACCTCTCCACAGAGTAGTACCTCTACTCTCTCCTCTTTTGCTAAGGAAAATGTCTGAGGCAGAGGGACAGACAGCACAAAGATAATAGATTCTGCAGCCAGTTTTCCACTTCACTCACAATGGTCTTCTTTACCCAACACTGACCGCTTATTATCAGCTGACATGCTTGCTGCCAGCAGAACACCTGATCTTGTGATCCCCACAGTGTCCATGTGAGCTGACATCCTTTCATAATCCTGAGGAGGGTAGTAAACCTGATGTTTCTCATTGACACCTTCCTTTGAAGAAATTTCTGGTGCTGTCTGCATTTATGCAGAAATTTGCAGTAGTTTTATTATCTGGTATTTGTTAAAGGTCTGTGGAATAAGGAAACAGAAACCATCTGGCTAATCAGAAAAGGCATATTAGATGCAGAAGGAGGCCACATACAAAAAATGTGGCTTTCCACGGAACCACTGAACTGTCCTGAGTTTTATGAGAAGGTGCTAAGCAAGTGATAAACCAAGCAGCACAGAGATGCTGGGTGGGCAGCTCAGTGCAGTTAGGATGGGCCCAGACCAAGTGGGGCTCATCAGTCAGAACCACAAGGCCCACTTTCTAAAGTGGAGAATTCAAATGGGACATTGATGTTCTCCTCTGGAAACTGTCACAATTTAAAGTGGAAGTGCCAGGCTCCCTAGTTTGCTGTTCACTTTCTTTTCTGCTTTATACTTTATTAAAATACTGAGTTTATTCCACATATATATTTTTGTCTCCTCACCATTCCCATATCTGACCACCACTGTTTAAATAACCTTACATAATATTCCTTACATACTTAAAAGCAAGCAAAGGGTGGAGTTCTGTGTTTAAAATCTAAACAGGTATTTTGGACAATGTATTCCTACTTGTAGAACCTAGAGAACCTGGATTATAAAAAGGATGGCCAGATATCAACAGTCATAGAAATGAAGCAAGATGGCATTTTTAACAGTCTGTTTAAACCATTTTCTTAAAAAGATCCCTCTACTGACAGATTGTTAATGGCTTCCTGATCAGTCATCTGGAAGAAAGTCTCACATAACCAATGAACTTGTCTTCGACTTTAGGAAGAGACTCGTATTTTCTGTACTTGCTTGCATTCATTTTTGCTTTAACAACTTTTATAGCATTGTACTATTAGGACTTCTTCCTTGGTTTTTGAAGACCTCGTGACCTTTTGATCTTGGTACTGTTCAAATCTCCATTCTTGATTGATTTTTATGCAATTTTGGCTAGAGGCGCTCACCTAGATTTATCTATCTATCTATCTATCTATCTATCTGCCTACCTATGTATTTATTTATTTCTCTCTTTCTTTTTTGGTACTGGGATTGGAACTCAGTGCTTGGTGCTGGCTAGGCAACCACTCTACCATTTGATCTGTGCTCCTAGTTTGCCTAGATTTCTTTATTGGAACTTTTTCTTAACTTTCCTCCTTGGTGTTCACATTTAATGATTAAAAACAAGTGGGCAAACACAGATCTGTCACAAAAACATGTACATAAAAAGATGTGACTTCAGCAGCAATTCTCAGTCTAAGAAAGAAAGGTCTCCCCCACCATCCCCACCAACATTGGAAGTCACTTGAACCACCTGGATTCATTCTTCAGGGTCAGTAACCTTTATAATTAAAATCCCAGTAGTAAGTGTAATTCATTCATATGTCATAGAGCGCATCCTGCTATTGTGCATGAGTACCAATTAATTTAACTGTGTATTATCTAACTTAGCATATTAAAGAACTACTTCTCTGGGATTCATTTACCATCAAACTGGTCATAATGTAGGCTCCTGCATGTGACGATGGGCACTCACATGATTAGAATTTGTATTTCCTCAGTGATGTGATAAACTCCAACATCTGGATACCTTTTTACTTAAATGATGTGTGTATTACAGTGACCTCATTCATCATATATCAGATATATCTTTATATGATATAGTTTGCCACTTACAGAGCAAAAGGCAGATTGGTTAGACCTGTGCTAGCTGCCATGTTATCCACTAGCCACATGCAGCTATTTAAACTTAAGTAAAATTCTGCAAAATTGAATTTTTGGTGCTGTTTGACTAGCACATTTCAGGTTCCCAATGTCCACATGTGACTAGAGATTATAGTCTACCATACAGGATAACATAGAAATGGAACATTTCCATCACCAGTGAGAAGTTTTATGGAATAGTGCTGTAATGAATGCTTAACAAGGTTTATGATTTCAAGAAGTTTTCTTTGCCTCTTTGTATTTATCATCACTTATGCATTTTTTACATGCTTGGAATTTATATACTAACAACATTTTTGTTTGTTTCTTTCAGACATTGCCCTGGGACTTATGGACGGTACGACCTCTAATAACACTTTTTATGTATCTTGATTTGTAAAAATTTGTAAGTCTTATATTTTATCTCACTTGTGAGAAGAACCATACATTTGATGATAATGTATTCTCCTAGAACAGAACCCAAAGGTTCTGTACATATCCACAACCTGGCAATCCCGGTAAAGAAAAGTATGTCAGTGGCCCAGATTTCTGGATGACTGGTGACCAAGAACGTGACGTTGTGCCTCTTTGCTTCTTCCTGTGAAGATTGGTGACAAGATGAGCTGCACACACATATATGGTTGCTTTACAGTAAAATATAAACAAGTGTGGGTGACAAAATGGAAGGTGATGGCAACTATTTTTTCATTACTATATTCAATGAGGCTTGATTAATAACAATTTGAACTTTAGAGCCACACAGCCTTGGACTAATAATTTTGTGACTTTGAGCAATTTCTAAAACTCTGTAAGCCTCACATTTGTAGAATAAAGGTAGTGATACCTACCCCAGAGAGTTGTGTGAGGATTTAATACACTACTTGTAGAGTATTTAGCTCAATGTATATTACGTATCAATAAAAGGTAGATATTATTTATTACTAATGTTATTTATTCTGCTAATCTAATGAGTATTTCCAGAATTTAGAGTTGGCAAAGAGATATGAAGAGAGCTTTGTGGTGCTTCATCAGCACTGTGTAACTAGGAGACTGGTAGCACTTGTGCCAAACCTGATACCGCTTAGTAGGGCCTTTGTCCTAGAAAAGTGCTAGTCCTGTGATCTTAAGAATAGCTTGAATTTCATGTTTTCTTCTTTTTTAGTGAGATAGTGGTATAACAGTAGATATATCTAGCTATTTGTGGGCTCCGTCTTCTGAAGTGATATTATTACTTTCTCCCCCTAAAATCAAAAGGATGACAATGATCTCCTTCCCATCTGCAAAAGCAGGTTTATAGTTCGTTCTTTTTTTTTCCTTGAAGTTTTAGCAAGAATTTATTTTAGTATAACAGGAGAAAGTATGGAGAAGTGGGGAAAAAAAGAGAAACATTTCTCATTCCCCATGCAGGAAATGGAAGTGAAGACTCCTACATTTCATTCTTCAGGATCCTTGTAGCATAAAGAGAGCCTTTCAAGAGAAAACCTAATACTGTTGTTTGAAACCATCCATGATTAAGTTGTATCTTTTATAGTGAGTTGTTTTTACCGTATAATCACAAACAAGGATGGATGGATGGATTGGAATTCAGGATATTTTAATTATAACCTCAACTCTGTGTTACTTTTCCTTGTGATTAAAGGAATAATGCTATTTTTTGTTATTCTTGGATTTTATATCTTTAGCTAGAAAGGGTATGGTATGGGTGAAGATATCATCTAGAAGGAGCATTTGATTGTTTCAGAGGACAAACTTGCTAGGAATAGTAACAATAGCAAAAAGATAAACATATATACCAAAACAAACATGATCACTTAGAAACTCATATGTAAAACATGTTTGTAAAAGTGGAACTACTCTATGGAACTTGGGGAAGGAGGGAAAGGAAAAGGGAATGATAGAGCATCAGTGATACTGTAAAACAGAACATCTGTGAAGGTAGAGAGTATAAAGATATGTATTGAAAGCTGTTGAAAAGGGGTGGTGGTAGGTAAAAGGGTAAGGAAAGTAATGGAAGGAGTTGAATGGACCAAAGTAAAATACACTCACAGTGGGGATACATTGAGAAACTCCTTTGAACATTGGCTTAAATAGTAATAATGAAAGATAGGACTATAAAATATGTACAGTGTATGTGTGTGGGGAGTTACTTGTAGGAGGAAGGAGAGTGAATAAAGGACATTAAGGTGAGGGTGTATGGTTGATGGACTTCATATACTTATATGAAATAAAGCAAAGAGGCCTCTTGCAATTGCTTTAAGTGGGTCAGGGAGGGATTGAGGGAGAAAGCAGTGGGGGTGATCTAACCAATGTACAATATAAGCCGATTTGTCACAATGAATCCCTCCTGTACAGTGGATATATCCCAATTTTTAAAAATTCTTAGACAAAAAGTAAAGAATGCAAAATGATGGCTTTCTAGACATAATTACTTACTGTTCTTAATCCTCTCAATTACTCTTGGGTTTTTGCTTATACACAGAAAATGACTTCTAGGTTGAGGGAAGAAAGTCAAAAGAATTCTTAAGGCTATTAGAATGGTTAATAGCAGATCATTCCATATCTAAACACCCACCTCAAAGGCAGAACCCAGTGAAGGAAGAGTTTAGGGGAGTATATGGTATTATGTAATTTCTTTACCTCTAATGCTTGATCTCATTTTAGTATTCTCAGACTTGCTTATTTATTTGAATAAGCATTTGCATTTCAGAGTCTACTAAAGCAAAAATTGTATATTAAGCATAAAACATTCCTGTTGATGCATCAACAGAATATTTTCTCTGAATAGTGTAAGATTTTAATCTGCTAGTGAACTTTCTTTCCTTGTCTTATAATTATTCTGTTTTTAAACCCACACAGACAAGCACTGATTTGGCACAACCGGTAGGTCAATATCCAGAAAATTCTGGATTTTTAAAATATTTAATGTACATGCTTGGTTTTTGTTTGTTTGTTTGTTTTATAGAATGAACTTTTTACCAATGGCATTGCTAGTCATAGATTTAACCCTAAGCCAATTAATTTTAACATTTTGTAGTTTTGTTTAACTGGTGCTACCCTACTGAACAGCTTTGTGTTTCTCATCAAATCTTATCATGGTGTGTTTCATCTTATGTTTTTTTTTTCTTTGCTCTTCTGCATTCTTTAAAGACTGACTCGTCAAAAAGTCTTTCTCTGTGTAACCTGATCATGGAGGAGACTCCAGACAGTGGGTCGGCCGAAGAAATTCAAAGATCTTACACAGATATAGGTGCATTTACTTGGGGCTTTGATGCTAGTACAGACAGTGTCAGCCAGGAAATTACCCCAAGTGGGTCTCAAGAAGACTTTGCATGTCTCTCTGAAGCAGAGCAAGACATGCAGTTTTCCACTGGAATATTCTCTTCTGCTGACTGGTCCACTGTAGCTGAACAGGGTGAGCATGTCCTGGGGCCAGACCCTGCATTTGGAAATGAACAGCTGTTCCCAAAGCCCATGTCTGGGACTGAAGTTGCCATTGATGCATGCATGGAGCTGTATCAGCCATATGAATCACTTGACTCAGAGATGGCAGCCATGGAAACAGATGGCCTGCTCAAAGAAGGCCATGAAGATACCAAACAGTCAGATGAAGAGAAGCAGAAGACAGAAGATTCTGTGTGGGCAGGTGTGGAGACATGTCAAAAGGTAGACACTAGAGCTGTTGATATCAAGGCATTAGAAAGTACTGAGGAGTTTGAAGATAAAGTATCTGAAAATATAAGAGACAGGGCATTAGATCTCCAAACAATAGCAGAGCAAGAACAGGAGACCTGCAAAATTAATGAAATGGAAACTAGGGAACATCTAAGAAAGAGGTATAAGGAAAGTATTGAAACCTATGAAAATTATTTTGAGGAAGCTGACCTTAGAAAAAGACATGGAAATACTCGATACAGCAGATGAATTGACAGACAGAGGGCAAGGGCTACATGATGGGATTCAAATACCAATCAGTAATAATAAAAATGTAGAAGGCTCTGTACCTAAATCTACCAATTATGTAGATATCTTGATTCCACTTCTCCACAGCAACTCCGTATCTATTATTAAAGATGTCTGTCTGGGAGAATGGAATTTATCTGGAAAAGATGTAAAGAATAATGTAATAGACCCTGTTAGTCATGCTATAATATGTCACCCAGCACAGGGTAATGCAGATGCTGAAGAAATTCGGTGTGGCATTGTGTCAAATGCTCATGTACAGGATGAAAATAAAAACCAGGCAGTCATTTTATCAATGAAATATGCAGTAGAAGATCAGTCTAGGACAGACCATAATTATTCTCTGGAAACTAATGCAACCAGAAGAGATCAGTGTTCATGTAAGGGAGAAGAGTCACTCCTAGTGGGGTCTGAAAGTGCAGCAACTGGGAACTGCAGTCATACCATTGACTTGCCAAGAATTGCAAGGACAGCCTCTTGGGAAACAGATCCAGTTCAAATCTGGCAGCTGAGCTTGAATTTAGCAGTGAATAATACAGATGTATCAGGATTCTCTGGTATACCAGATGGCCAACCAAGTGGTTTTGCCGATTGGCTAGATTCTAACAACGACTGGCCTCTCAGAGATATGGAAGGTTTAGAAAATTGCTGGGAACACTTAGATATAGTTGAAAGTAAGAAAGGACTGCAGATGGACTCCATAGCACGTGCATGTGGGGAACAAACCATGCTAACTACTTAGAACAAAGCCAGGAGATAGCTAGACCATTGGTTCTGGGAACTTCCTGGAATACTGAGAGTTCTGATAGTTCCTGAGACAATGACATCGACAACTCAGAATTATCTGAAGATGAAATTTCTAACCAGAGATACGGACTTTTGTATCAAGGAATAGAGGCTGATAAAGACGAGGTACTTTCCCCAGTATGTAGCATAGACTAGCAGAAGACTTCTGTGGGTTCTGTTTTCCTAATATCTCTCACCTTCTTCACTATCCATCCTTTGATCTCCTTGAACAGATTGTTATGTACCTCTTGAAGTATGTGCAAACAAAACACAAATAGGTTGACAAAAAATATTCTACACAATCTGAGTAATTGTGTTTAGTATTATAGTCATCTCACCATTTCACATTCTAAATTTATCCCTTCTACTTTCATTTTCATAAGTTGTTAAGTCCCTATGGCTCTTCTTAGGAATCATCCATTCTCTCCTTATTGAGAAAGTTGGGTGCTGGCCAAGTGGCTCAAGTGGTAGAGCACCCAGCTAGCAATTGTTAGCCCCTGAGTTCAAGTCTGACTGCCACCAAAAAAAGACAAAGCAAGTAGATTTTCAGTTAGCATTGAGCCATTTACCAGTAATAACTGTAAAATTAATCTTTGATTTCTTGTCAGCCTATTTAAAATAATACAGCATGGCCTTTTACATTTCCTAAGCCCTTCCATCCACAGTACCCTTTTGTATTATTTAAAAATTTATAGTAGTCATTACTCTCCAATCTTGTCTAATGGATATTCACTAATCCTATACACATGATGGAGAAAATAATACAATCTTTTCTATTTCTGTTCAGGCTTCTGGTGGTTCATTTAATGGGTTCACACAGGTAAGGAATCAAGTTTCTAGCAAGATCCCTCTGCAGAGAATACTGAAGTTTTTTTAATACAAATCTTGTACCACTTGTCTAGAATAATGATTAAGAGTGTCAGTACAAAATTTGACCCCAGTATTTACAAATTAAGTAATGGAAACAGAATAGTAGCAACATTGTAGGATTGTTGTGATGATTAAATGAGATATGCACACAGGCCACTTACCCAGCAACCTAGCACATATAAATTCAGCTAGTTTTTATGAATGGTCTTAGCTATCATGGACTTATACTTTCTGCTGATTTCTATATTAGTTATTAGAAGTTGTCCTGATCTGAGAGATTCTCCATATTCAGCTGTTGCAAAAGGGGTGAATGGATCTTTAGAAAATACTGAGAGATTTTTAGGATCCTTCTTCTAAAGATTCACAGTTTCCATATACAGAGCCTTACCCTTCCACAGTTCTCCAGAAAGGAGCCATTGGAGGTCATAAACTATATATGGGCTCCGTCTACTATGGCGGTGTTTTCCTTGGTGGTGTGAAAAGAAGGAACCACAAGATGAACTGTCCCATTCACTGTGTGTGTCCCAATAGACAGACAGGTTTAACTCATGTGAAAGGAAGGCTACATGGCTATCCAGCTCCTCCATTCAGTCTGACAACGTCTTTACAGGAGATCTCAACCAGAGGCTTGTTCATGATGAATGCTTTGTGTCAGAATGCACAGTTTCTAATAATTTTAGCTTTTAGAATTCTCTAAATAAATATTTACAATATATTCACAAATAGAATTCTTTATTTACAAGTTTTATCCTTTTCCCCTGTTACTTATAAAAAAGACAAAACCATAAACACAGAACACACAATCACGAAGATAAAGAACAATGCATCTTTTCCAGCTGCAGAAAACTCTTGGAAGCTTGACATAGTGATCTTTTACTCATTTTTTTTCAAATTTGTATTTCTATCAGAGATATTTAATGGTTTGTAAAATAACAAGGGCTTTAATTTTAAAACTTCAGACCATCATACTCCCCCCATTTTCTGTTTCTTAGAGGTAGATATTTTCATGTCTTTTAACACATTCTCTAGTTTCACTCATGTGTGTATGGGTTATTGTTAAGGCTACTTCTTGATTCTGAAGGATTATCTACTGACCTTGTCTCTGGAAGATGAAGACAGTGTTTGCTACCCTTACCTTCCAGTTCACCCTTCTTCTTCTGTCTGCTGTCCTCTGACAGAGTTCCATAAAACCCATCTACCCAGCTGTGGAAATATTTTAATGATATAAATGCTATCAGCAGACAAGTCTTGAAGTTTATGTATCCTTTTCATGTCAGCTCTTTTTTTCCTCTCCATAAAAATTGTGGATCTTGTTTGCCTATCTGTTGGTTGGTTTATTTAGTTTTCTAGGTTCTTATCACCTAGTCAGTCCCATACCCTGTAGTCATGTAAATTTTTCCTCATTTTGATGAACATATTAGCTATTCCAGCAGTTTCATCTTCTTGAACAAATTGCCTATCTATCCTGGGCTGCTACTGTCAGAACTGTGTGCTCCGTGACTATGGTTTACGTTTGCCCTGTGGTAGATACCCAGCGACTTGTTGTCACCCCTCCTGCTGTACAACCACTGCATTCTGCATGCAAACCATCCTTCTTTGTGATTTAATCCCTCATTTGGATGGAGCTCATCCTCCAGGACCTAACTGAGGAAAATGTGCATAGGAAGTATATTTGTGACATTACCCATCTTTGTGGCGTGTCTTTTGTCCTGTATGCATGAAGGACTATTGATTTGGACATTGCATTACAAGTTATAGATCATTTTCCCAGAGAATTGTTTTTTCTGGGGTTTGACCTCAGGGCCTTGTGCTTGCTAGGCAGGTGTTCTACCAACCCTTTTTGCTTTAGTTATTTTTCAGATAGGATCTCACGTTTTTCCCCAAGGCTGCCCTCAGACCATGATTGTCCTACATACACTTCCTGCATAGTTGGGATTACAAGTATGAAGCACCACACCCTGATTGTTTGTTGAGATAGAGTCACACCAACTTTTTGTCCAGGCTGACCTCAAACTGTGATCCTCTCATCTCTGCCTCCCAAGTAACTAGACTTACAGGCCAATGCCACCATGTCTCTAGAATTTTAAAGTCATTGCTCATCTCAATTTTAATTCTTTATATTGCTTTTGAGAAACCCATTAAGACATTTGATATTTTTGAAGTAACTTTGTTTCTGTCTCTGACTTTCTTTCTCTGTGTCTCTCTTACCTTCTTTTTCTTTCTCACTTTCTTTCTATAACTTTATAGATCCTCTTTTAAACTTGATGTTTCTGTAATTTTACAGTGATGGGGTATAACCTGAGTCTTTTTTTCACCTATTAGATTATGTCCTGTTCATCTAAAACTTTATGTCATGGAGCACACAGTTCTGTTCCAACTTCAGCAGCCCAGGACAAATGAGCAATTTCTTCAAGAAGATGAAACTACTTGAATAGCCAATATTTTCATCAAAATGAAGAAAGGTTTATATAAGTACAGCATATGTGGTTGACCAGGTGATAAGAACATACCTAGAAAACTAAGTACACCAACCAATGGACAAGCAAACAAGATCAACAATTATTATTGAAAGGAAAACAGAGTTGACATGAAATGAAACATAACTTCAGAACTTGTCTGCTGATAACATTGATGTCATTAAAATATTTCCACAGATGGATTAGATGGGCATAATGAGACTCTATCAGAGGACAGGCAGGAAGAAGAAGAGGGGTAGACTTGGAGGGTAGGGGTGTCAAACACTGTCTTCACCTTCCAGAGACAGGGTCAATACATAAGCCTTTAGAATCAAGAAGCAGCATTAAAAATAAGCAAATCAAACCAAAAAGTAAGCATAAGTAATACTTTTAAATTGTTATTATTTCAGCAGTGATTTCTCTCTTTTGTTTTCCTTATCTGTCATTCTCTGAGGCTTCTCGGCTTCTCTTTTTCATATGCTGGCATTGTAGGCTAGTCTAATTATTTTTTTTTGCTGTTTCCTTTTCTCTGTCATGTTTCTCCACTCTCTCCGCTTTCTATCTCTTCCAACTTTTTCATTGCTACAGGTTTTTCAGTTTCTAAGAGCTCTTTTTATTTCTGCATTTTTTTTTCAAATAGCATCCTCTTCTGGGGTCATGAATACAGCATCTTCCATTATATCTCTTAGGGTGTTAATAATTATTTTTGACAGTATTTAGTCTTTTCTTATTCTACTTATAGTTTTTAATATTCAGTTTCTCCCTTTCATAGTGGTACTTTTCTCAGTGTTTGGTAGTCTTGGCTGAATATTCATTTTTAAAAGTAGGATGTTAAAATCTGACTGGAAATATGTATAGTTAGGTGGACCTCATTAACTTTTTGCATCATTATAGAATTTCCAGCTCACTTCTAATGGGGAACTTCTGATATCAGATTTTTTTTAGACATTTTGCTTGGGCTAAGTCAGAGTCCTTAAGGAAGACTCCTGTGGTCTCCTGTCTGAGGAGTAGAAGCCTGGCTGGCCTATGAAGGAGGTGACCTAGAAGGTGTGCGTGTGTGTTTATGGGAGAACATGTTTTCAACACTTAATATGTAAATACTCACTTTATCCTTCTAGTTCCTGATTTGCCTGTATGTCCTGTAGCCCATAGCCCCAGGGTTTCAGCCTTTGTAGAATTAATCTCAAGTGTTCTGCTGGGTAGGAAGGGACATTGGTTGGTTTTCAGAATAAGTGAGAATATCCTTTAGTCTATTTACTTTTTAATCAACTTTCAACCTGTTCCCCTGTCATCAGCATCCCTTACCTCCTATTTCCCATGGTTACCCAAGCTTCTGATTCTTGACCCATTAGGAGATCTGAGCAATGAATTGGATTGATTCTTGGCTCTTCTATCATCAGCTTCAGATACAGGTTATTTGTAACCAAGTTACTTATAGCTCATTCATCTGCTTTCTAGTTTCAAATCCTTTTACATTGCCTTTTTTCTCAATTCTTTCATCCTTGTAGGTTTATGCCTCTAAAAAATTCCCCTTTGTATTGTTTAGTTTGACTTCTGGAGGTAGCAGAGGTAATGACATACGTTCAATCCATCATCTTTTACCAAAAGTCACTGGCTCTCTTTTCTGTTAGGGAGCCTCTGATTTCAGATTCTTCAGGCATTCTTTTTCTTCTTAACCTGCTTAGATTTTCCAGGAAGGACTATTTGGTCTCCATCTGGGAATCAGAATTTGGCTACCAGTGTAATTAGAGATCAATAGCTTCTCCTTTAGCTTAATTCCATCTGGAGTTTTTGGGTGAATGAGGATATTTTATAATTTTTTAACATGTAGCTCAGAAAAATTACACACATTTAGGTAATACAATGAGATCACGTTCCCATCATTTGAAAAGTTTAAAACGGGCATACTCAGCCTGAGACTTCTAATTTTGTGTCAATATCCAGAAGAGAAGCTTTGGACCAGGTATTCAAAGCCAGCGCCCTCTGTTTAATGATTATTGTTATGTTCTGCTGACAAAGATTCATATGTGGAATAACTTTTAACACTTACTCTGCACTTTTTTCTTTTAATGATTTAAGAGGGAACCCTAAAAACTTAATATGTGTTTAGTGATGCAAGTGATGGCTGCTAACTTAAGTATCTTTTTAAAGGTTTTCTGTCTTCTTCCCATTTTCAACCCCAGGACACTTCACTATTTGCAATGCAGGCAGATCAGAGCATGGTCTCCAGCCTGGTAAGTTGATGCCAGTGTGTCTTTGAGAAGTTGTTAGTTACCACCAAATGTTTGAAAGTAAGTTGACTGTGCTAGATTGGCTACAGTTGAATGTGATTTCTGAAGCTCCCTCTTATCTAGAAAATAGGAAAGAAAGCATCTCTAAAATCTCAGTGTGACTTTGAATTCAGTTACTCCCATTCATAAAGTCACAGTGATCCTAGCAAAAACCAAGGTCTCCTAGTTAGGGACCTCAGTGGAACACAGTGACTCTTTAAAAGGTATGGATCTTTCCATGTGACTATAATGTAGGCTACTTGGTTCAAAATGAATTTGCCTCAAGAATTTATACTTCAAAATACAGCCTTGCATTTTTTATCTTGAGGTTGGAACTACCTCATTTGTTATTTCATCCCTTCATTTTGTGAGTTGTAGAAAGAAAGAATGCATAGTAGAGTTCTGAGTCCTAAATCGTGGGAGAGAAAATATCAGGGAAGAAGTAAGAAGCAGAAAGAATCACTGTGGCTTGAGAGGAGATTCTTGTAAGACTGGCATTGCACTTATCGTGGGTATCCTCTTAAGCAGCAACTTAGTAATAAAGTTGACTGGAGATGTTAGGACCCGGAATCCTATTCCCCCGAGAGACAGAGAGCCAGGCGTGAATGCAATCAACAAAGCAGAGTTTATTGGGCTGGCTAGCCAGGGTCGAGCTCCCACACGGACACGCAGGACCGGTTAGGAAAAACACGACCCTGAGCCTCTTTAGGGGAAATCTTATATAGACCGCGGTGGCATGCATATTTTCGTTATCAACATTGGGCAAGCAGGCAGAGCACATCTTGCGCGTACCTCACATCTTGCATGTACCCCCCGCTCACATTCCCCACATTCTATATGCCCTAACCGAGCCCTGCCGCATTGCTTATCTTATCTACACGGGGTGTTTGGTACTGGTTTCTCCAACAAGGGGATTGGGGCCCGCTGAGACCTCCTATTCCTTTCAGAGAGACCTTGAATGATGTCATTATGAGCTTGACACTGCTGCACTATAGAGGACTTAAATTTGTGAAGTTTATTTACAGCACTGTGATGTTTGATGGGAAGAATTGGGTACCTCCTCATGCTCCACAGCTAGTTGGAGGAGCTTTCATGTTTGTCCTTCCCTTCTCTCAATACGTAGTCTTGGAAGCAGACATCACCATGCTTCTTCTGTCCATTGGGGAATTTAGGGTGTCATGCCCTTCATTGCAAATGCTGCTAACATTCCTCATTCTGTGAGGGACTAGGAAATCACAGTGAATGTATGTCTGTCAGTGAGTTGTGATTATACAGGATCTTGCCAGGAGCAGGAAAACAACCCAGCATTAGGTTCATTGACTACACTGAGGGAAAGTGGGGGTCAAAGCTGCTATTCAGCTTTACATCTCTCAGCCTGTATTATATGACTCTACAGAAGATCCCTTGAGTACACATCGAAACTCTTGGGGATATACCCAAAAGACTGTGACACAGGTTACTCCAGAGGCACCTGCACACCCATGTTTATTGCGGCACTATTCACAATAGCCAAGTTATGGAAACAGCCAAGATGCCCCACCACTGACGAATGGATTAAGAAAATGTGGTATCTATACACAATGGAATTTTATGCAGCCATGAAGAAGAACGAAATGTTATCATTCGCTGGTAAATGGATGGAATTGGAGAACATCATTCTGAGTGAGGTTAGCCTGGCCCAAAAGACCAAAAATCGTATGTTCTCCCTCATATGTGGACATTAGATCAAGGGCAAACACAACAAGGGGATTGGACTTTGAGCACATGATAAAAGCTTCAGCACACAAGGGAGGGGTGAGGATAGGTAAGACACCTAAAAAACTAGCTAGCATTTGTTGCCCTTAATTCAGAGAAACTAAAGCAGATACCTTAAATGCAACTGAGGCCAATAGGAAAAGGGGACCAGGAACTAGAGAAAAGATGAGATCAAAAAGAATTAACCTAGAAGGTAACACACACGCACAGGAAATCAATGTGAGTCAATGCCCTGTATAGCTATCCTTATCTCAACCAGCAAAAACCCTTGTTCCTTCCTATTATTGCTTATACTCTCTCTACAACAAAATTAGAAATAAGGGCAAAATAGTTTCTGCTGGGTATTGGGGGGGGGAGAGGGAGGGGGCGGAGTGGGTGGTAAGGGAGGGGGTGGGGGCAGGGGGGAGAAATGAACCAAGCCTTGTATGCACATATGAATAATAAAAGAAAAAGGAAAAAAAAAAAAGAAACCCATTTAAATCTGCACCTTTGCCTAAGGGTCAGAGTTAACCCCAGGGCTATTTGCAGGTCTCTTTGGAACAGCTCTCTTAGGACTGGAGAAACAGAACTAGAAGGCAAGCACCATATTGGATTGTGAATAAATTCTTCCTTCTGCCTCTGCATTGTCCTGGCTTCATCTTTTCACAGAGGATTCCAGAATATGTGTTCCAAGGCAACACTTTCATTTTATTCTAAAGGAAAAAATCTCTTTCTGATTCTCAGACGTAAACCATTACAGCATCCAGCTGCCACCAATAAATTTAAAGACTCTATATCTTCTCTGAATATGTAGTGGTTGCTATTCCAACAAACAAGAAGAGATCATTTCCTAAACAAATATAGCATGATATAGACCCATTAGCAACATCTGTCGAGACATCTTTTAGGAAAGAAGATGGCTGAGGGAGAGTGCAATTCCTATTGAACTATTTTAGATTTTTCCATAAGATGTTGCTAGAGGCAGGATGTAACAATTTGTCTTTGTTTTCTCTTGATTTTGACAAAATATTTACAATTTTACACTATCTCAGAAGGAATAAAAGAGTGACTTCTATTTCTGAATTTGAGAGGCAAATTTTATGTACATTCATGCTTCATCCTTACTCATTATTCAGTGAGTTACATTAATCTCCCTAGAATTTAAGCCACCATGCCATATTAGAATCTTTGGTGTTGTAGTCTAATATAGTGAAATGTGTTGTGACTTGTGAGGACATAACATTCCTGTGTTCTCTTCATACTATACTACAGTTACACTGTCAAATTTCGGCAAGCAAATGCATTTAAACTCATTTATAAATATAATCACCCTAGTTATTCTTGCCTTACATAAAACTTCAGAATTTCCTTAGATTCTAATGCAAATTTTTTTTGTATTTTAAGTTACCTTTGCATTTTAAAAAACACATAATAGTATATTCATATGTATTGTGTTTTGAAACTTGTCTTGGCTCCTTATGTGGTTTCAAACTTTCTCCTTAGCATAACCTCAGCCTGCCAGGGAGGAGCTCATAGCTTTCTTCTTGATTTTTCAAATTGCCCATTGTACCTTCCATTGTGCAGGTCATTTGGTACCATTCTGTCATAGCAAATCACCTTGACATCCAAATGGAAAGATCATAGAAGCACTTACCATAGCTACAGCTATGAAAACTTGGTCCATTATAAAGATAATTCTTTTGAAACAACAAAAGTGATGCCTTTTCTCATAAAGGGCTCCTGAGAGCAAATTAGAGTGAATTTTACTTCATTCTTTCTTAAAAGTTGTGCCACCTCTTAAAGGTTATAAAATCTTGTAAAAATACAAAAGTCTTTGTACAATTGTCTACCAAGGTGTCCTTTAATTTTGTCATGCCCTTTGAAATGATCAGTGATGTGGACATGGCATGAATTACAATGAATGATTTAGTGAAGGGCATAAGAAAATTTGTATATTTATTCAACACTGAGTTACTTTCTATAATCTCAATATAACTTTCCCATTACTTTTCTTTGAAACTTGTCATGTCCATTGACTCAGATGAACCTACAGAAGAAATAGAAGTAGCTTTTGGTTACTTATGGTGAGAATCTGGTAGAAGTGCTGATTTATTCAATGTAATAACTATAGACTTTGTACTATACTGGGAAACCACTTTTAAATTTTTTAGTTTAAATGTTCTGGTGGAAAAGGGTCTTAATGAGCCCTCTAGAGGTCATCCATTTAATGAAATAATCATGCTAGATAAACACACTACATTACGAAGAATGGAAAAAGAGGGAATAATTTCAGATGTGAAATGCATCTGAAGATGCATTGGCCATAGTATTTTGTTATTTTATAGTACCATTTTAGAACTGAAAAGTTCTTAGCAAAGAAATGTTAGAGGCCTAATTCAACATATAATTGGAATTAGGACAATAGCTATGTGTGGAGGCCCCATGGGCACAAAAAGACCTCACCTGGTTGCACACTTAAAAGGATCTAATTTAGAACATGGCGAATATTGCCTGTGGTTCTTTAAAGAACTGCTTTACTGTATGAAATAAATTGATTGCTAAGGATTTTGTTGGAGGGAGAAGGAAAAAGAGGAATTAAACAAGAATTTAAAACAAGGCCACAAAGCATCTATTCTTGGTAGGGATTATTAGCCAAGTAGTTGAGCCTGTTCCCTCCAGCTTTGGAAGTTACACACCAGCTTCATAGTCACCCATTGGGCCACATTAACATATTTTAATCTGAATATTAAGATGACCTCTTGATTTTAGGGGGGTGTAGTAACATTTATAGGACTGAAAGATCCCATAACTGTATGTCCTGTGATTTTTTTCTCCTCACTTTTTCTACCTGGCAAATATGGGACCTCCTCTCTCTCTCTCTCTCTCTCTCTCTCTCTCTCTCTCTTTCTCTCTCTACCATTTTAGGATCTCTTAAGTAGTAAAATGATGCAAGTAAGTAAATGAGTAGCCAAAATGGTAGTATTTGCATAACTTTAAGGAAAACAACAGTTCTTGATGATGGTAAAAAAGAATTTTAATGAGATTCTCTTCCAAGATTTTTTCAGTTCTGTAAAGGCTCATGATGCCAAATTGTTTTCTAGTACAGATCTAATGAAGCTAGTCACCAGTGGGTTGACAAAGAAATTGCCAATATCTTAATTGTCCAGTATTTTGTAATATTACCTACTCACATGCTGAACCTTTTTTCTTTAATCTCCAAACAAACAATCCAAGGCCGAAACTGAACAGGCTCCCCCCACAGAGCCGAAAGCAGAGGAACCTCCAACCACTGCTGCTGCACCTGCTGTTGGGCTGGACATTGAACTGGACACTCAGGCTGAGGAGCCAGTAGAGGAGACTGAAGTGAGAGCCACCTCCTGTCCCCCTCCACCTGCCTTGCTGCCACTGTCATGCTCATCTCATGACCCTGTGTATCGCTTCTCCTGCATGCCTCCATTGGGCCAAACTAACTGCATATCTATCTGTCTTGGCTCCCCAGGTTCAAATAGCCTTCACTGGTTTGATAGTGAAACTCCATTCCCTCTCATGTTTTGCAAAATGAGATATCATAGAAATGATCTTCTAATCTATACAAAAGTCTCATAGAGTCACAGGGATGTCTCTTTAAAAAAGGATGTCTTATTCTATTTGGTACTTTCCCTTTCATGGTAGATAGGTCATAGCACATGCAAAGAATCAGATCTTTAATTCTATGTTTTACTTGTGATGGCTGGAGATGTATCTTTAAATAAGGACTAAACTACATGAGATAAACATAAGAATAATAACTTTGTTGGTTGTATCTACATAGTGGTTACTTATAATATTAGTTTTATAAATTTGTGAAGGCCCAAATGAGGGACTGAAATCCATTTTACAAATCTATGAGTCTGTTAGGTTTTCTCTATGTACAGCCATTTGCTCCATGCAGGCTCTGATAAGGGGACCTTGAGTATGCATTTAGTGTTAGGATGGAGATTAGTCTGTCTGCTTGGACACCTACTCTTATCCTGATCCATGCAGCCATAAAGAACACTATACTGCAAATTGGGATGATCTCTAAAATGCACCAAGTTCAATTAGATAATGTATCTCCCTTGAAGGCAGAATGTCGAAAAGAACGCATTGAGTGAAAAATGTTTATGAAATACAATAAATGTCTCCCAACAATTTTAGTGAGGGTCCTATTTATTGCAGACATTATGAAATATATACAAATAGGAAAACCAATTTCCCTGTTACCAAATACGACATTACCTAGGTCAGATACATGGAGAAATGGAAATTTTATTAAATGATGTTGGTGTCTGAGGTCATTTTACTGAGAAAAGGATAAGTCATTTGTCAAATCAATCATTTATTAATGTAGCAAGGCAAGTTAGTGATGGGAAATACTTATGAATAAGGACTCAAGAAAGATTATCACATTTTCCATGTGAAGATATACAGTTGGACCAAGTCCTGTAGAGAAAACAAGGGGTATGTGTTCTGCTGGGTTGAATCTCTCCTAGAAGTGTCCATTGCTTGGGTGGACTTCAGACTGGGGAGTGCTGTGTCCAGGGTTTCTTCTTGACTACCCTCCTGATCTCAACAATTCTGTGCAGATGTCACATTCCATGTGACAGCAAACTATAATCTGTCTATCCACTTTACTTTATGATTATTTAAAAGATAGAAGGGAAAATTCTGTTGAAATTTTGACTACTGTTTTAATCAAGGGGATGATTTCTTATAAAATGAACATGGATGATGCCAGGGAGCTAGAAATATGCTGATTTAGACTTTGAAGGAATCATTTTGATTTTGAGAAGTTCTTGTCAAATTCCTATACTCGTGTTTTTAGCTGTTGTTTCCTTTAGCTATTTTTCAGATAATCTTGCATTTTTGCCTTGGGTCAGCCTTGGGTCAGCCTTGGGCTACAGTGCTCCTACTTGTGCCTCTCAGAAGCTAGGATTACAAGTGCATGCCACCACACCTGGCCCAAATTTCCATTTTTAATAGCAACACAGACTTTATCTTTACTAATGTTTTAAATTCCATTGATCTCAGGCCCTAGACCATTCAGTGAAGGCTTCATGCTCTAACGCCTGTGGTTTTAAGCAGGAGCAGTGTTGGATGTCTTGCAGTAGATGGGAGATGTGAAATAGACTTGGACATGGATTCTGTATGATTCCCTCTCAGAAAGCCCTGGTCACCTGCCCTCACACTCAGCCTCATTATAAACTTCCATAGATTAGGTTTTTGGTTTTCACTGAATCCCAGTTCATTGGTTTTATAATAAACAATATTAATAGCTACCAATTCTTAAGGGCTGTCTTCTTCATTCTAGCAATAATTTTCTTCCTAAAGCTTATAGGTGACTTTAGAGAATCAAAAAATTGAATTCTTTGTGAAATATATGGCCGTTTAGAGTCTTTTGATGTAAACACCTCCTAGACCCATAGGTATAGTAAGCACATAGGTGCAGAACTCACAGTCTGATCTGCTCTCTCCAAAGAGAAAATATCCATCCAGTTGATTTCTTCATTGGGAATGAAAAATAATAGTAATAATGTTAATCAGGAGGATCAGTTACTGTAATTCAATTTGCCTAATGTGCATCAAAAGTGCCTCTTTTCCATGTTTTCAAAATGAACATACTTAGATGGAGTCAGTGCTTCCCCTGTTCTTCCTTCTACTTAGGAGAATCACACCACATGGAATGCTTCTTTGTTTCCTAAAGGCAATTTATATCTTCTTTCTTTTACTCAGAATAGTGTAATATGTTAGGGTTATTTTTTCTAAAGAAGGGCCTCACTATGTCTAGATGTGTCTATTTGGTTATAAAACATAACAATCCACCTCGTGTTCTTAGCTGGCTGTGGTGTCATCTGTTGAGTTGGCATGACCTTTGGAGGTAATCCTTTCTGCTGCGGAAATGTCACCACACAGTTATTAGTTCAGGTTTTGACAGAAGGCATTTCATCTGAAGTGAAGATTGTGGTGGCTTTGTTAAAAAAGAAACTTTCAAGTGCAATTTCAAAATCAGGAAATATTAGTAGTAGTTCACAAAGAAACCAGGGTGTTCAAGCAAAGTTTAATTGTTATAGTTCTGTGTGTTGTTTTATTCCCAAACATAGCTAATGTCTCCTTTAGTTTTACCAATCTAACTTTACTGATATGTCTACAGGATGCATTTTAAAAACACTCTTATTTCATCTTCTCCAGATGTTTCTAAATTATGTGAATAATGAAAATAATTATTAGGAAAAATAATTTTAATGTTTGTTTTAGGATATAAATCAGAGAATTGGGTTTAAAAGCAGATAAGTATAGAATCAATTCATAATGTAGTCTTTAGTTACAGTTAATCATTTGTCATGCATGTCACTTCTTTTCAGAAATTAAATCTGACATTTATTTCATTTTCTTAAAGAAAGAAAATGTAATTCCTGTCCAATCTTGTATTCACTCGAATGATGTGAGTTAGATCAATGTCCATTTTTACCTATTATTTATTTCAAAATAAATAACATACTGTAATTAAATTTAAGGTTAGCACAACTTCTAAAACACATAAATAAAGAAGAACCTGAAGCAAAGATGTTTTTTGGATTGTTGAAGATTCTGGAAGAGAAAACATTGCTGACCCATTATTTTGGGAACTGCTTTTGGTTTTGCTGTTTTGTTTTTTAAAAAATTGCACCAATCTTATGTTGATCTGTCAGGACCAATAAATCCAGAAAGTATAAACACACGAGTTTACAGTCTATAGTCTCTGAACTTTATCCTGCTAGGAATATTTCTCATAGCTTTAATGCAATGCCTGTGGTCGTTTCCACTTTCATTCAGCTGGCAGAAGTCTTCTATAGGTGTCAGGCTCTACTGTGGGCGCAGGGACACAGCAATGCAGTAAATAGATATGGTTCCTGCATTGTCGGTTCCACAGACTGGTGGGTGAGACTAATAGTACATGGGGCTCCAGGCACCCTTCCGTGGCAGTCGTGTGCATGGGAAACAGTCTGAATTTCTTCTTTGCAGAGTAAACACAAGAGTGGGGGCTTATACTGGGCCTTGAGATGTGATCTACTAAAATGTCAGAGAAAACATTGAGGCCAGGAAGCCAAGGAGCTGGAATTATTGTCTACCCTTTGTTAACACAGAATAACCTCTCAGCCCTTAAGTACTCAGATTAAAGCATGGCTTAAATTAATGGTATGTACAAGAGCCTTGGATATGGATGTATCTTTTTTATCCTTCCCAGAAAAAAAAACATAGCAGAAATGTTGATTTTCTGAAATTGACTGTATTCCCTTTAGCAATTAATCATATTATCAGGGCCCTTCTCTCAAAAAAGTGGCACTGTTTCTCTTTTTCCAAGGGTAATACAAGCCAAGAAAATTCTGATTCACTGATTTGTTTGTTGATTAGTAATATAATGTAGAAGTCCTTAAAGGATCTGTATCTTGGTCACTTTAAATGAAAATAAAGACCTTTTTCTTTCTGTTTTTTCTATTCAGATACCTTGGTTTTTATATTTAGGAAAAGTAAGCCAGTTATTGTTATCCAAATCAATGCCAAGCCAGGTGTAGTGATTTACAACTGTAATCCTAGCACACAGGAGGCTGAGACAGGTGGTTTGTGAGTTTGAGGTCAGCCTGAGATATATTATAGCACAACCCTGTCTTACCAAAAAGAAAAAAAAAGCAATGGCAGTTTCCTCATTTGCTACACAATAGCTATGACATCTGTACTCCAATTGCCTCACATATAAAATAAAGTTAATAATAATTAACTTAAAAGCTTCCTATGAGGGCTTAGAAATAATCCATCTTATTGTTTCAGCATCTGTCACATAGAGGTATCTCAATCAATACTGGCTTTATGATATCATTATCATCATCATCACAAAAGTTGGTGAAAAGCAAATAAGAAGAGGTGGGAAGTCTGGGAAAGAGAAGGTAGCAGATATGAACGGTAACAATCCATTTTTCAGTTTTGCTACCTGTCAGACATGGCAAGGTACCTGGCACCTCTGTTTGGTCTCCACCAGCACAAATTCCCTTTTGCTCTTAAAGAAGCTGTATCCCATCAGCATCCCTTGTCCTTCCTAAGAAGGCCCTTCTCTTCTGGAGTCCTTCATACGGAGTCCTTCATACTGAGTCCATCAATAGGAAATTTCTTGCCTTTACCACCAGGGGGATGTGAGCACCCCAAGAATTGGCAATACCAGTCGTTTTAGCTGGGTCTTCCTTTAAGGTGGTCATTGAAGGAGGAAAAAAAGGCAGATCATCTTCAAATACATCTAAGTTTAATTCAAGTGAATGGTCCTAGATCTTTCTATCTTTGTATCAAATCATAGGAAGAAATAATTTTAGCTAAGA